TAATCTATGACTTACTAGCTGTTTCTAAGTGATTCTGGCTGTGTCGATAGATTTGTTTACAGCTCTAATTGTGTTAATGAATTGAACATAATTAAACTTACAGCATGTCACAAGCTTCCTCTGGCAACTCTAGTTGGTTTCTTAAGTACCAGTTCATCAGCAACCATACTGCAACTGAATAGGTAACTACAGAACACCTTAGTAACAAAACAGCAAATATAAGACTAGACCTTAATATTCATCCATAAATTACTGCAAGAGAGGCAAGGAACTTGGATTGTAAAGGTAGAATTACCCAGGGTTGGTTTTTTTTGGGGGGGGGGTTCATCTTGAGAAACAGCCAGCTCAAGCTGTACAATTATTAATAAAAAGTATTTTCATAAAGGAACCTATCTTTTGGCTTATGCAGAAACCTTGAGTTGACTCCGTATGGTGACTGGTACACATCATTTTCGTAACACTCCACAAAGCAAAACTCATCTGAATTCTGAAATTTGTCCTAAAATCCAACTTTTTCATGGTTTGCAACATTGAATATGAGGATTATGTGAAATGTACTTCCTTCAAAATAGAACAAGGTGCAGTGTTTAATCCATTTTTCACCAGCAATTTAATTGGAATGATAAATAATTTATTGCTCACATACACACAGGTAGGAGTAACAAATCCTGTTGGCTATCTCAACTGAGGTTTTTGGAGTCGTCCTCTGTTTGGCTACTGTACTTTTAAGTATTTAAAGAATTGTAATAACCCATGCCCTTTTCAAGCAATTTAATTTTGATCTGTCTTGGGTATTATCCCTTTAGTCAAACCTCAGACAATAAAAATCTTTTGTATTTTTCATCCTAGAACTTGGATTTCCTCCTTGCTGCACATAAAAACATTTTCAATCAATGATCAAACAATGTTAACAAATAGCAAAATATTATTAATCCTTTTCTAAGTTATCACTAAAAATCTGTCTTTAAACTTGTATCTTATTCTCATGTTTATTTTCATGTGAACAGTGTTGTCTTAACATGTATAGAATTTTTTTTTTCATTTAAATGTAAGCAAGTAGCAGTGACTATTCACAATTTACTGGTAGTATTCTCATAGTTGAAGGAGCTATATGGGATCTATAGTCAGAGTAGAAAAACAAATAGAATATATGTGTTATTTTTTTAAACAATAGGCTCTTTCTATGAAAGCATTGATTCTGGTTCAGTGTTTTCATAATAACACAAAGTGTTGTAGGAATTACTGATGGTGCAGAACATTATCAGGTGCACACAGCATGATGCCTGCACTATTTTCACAATGTAATTTTTGAAGAAACTCCAGCAAACTAAACCCTTTTGATGCAGCACTAGATAACAATATGGAACAAATAAAATGATCTAGGAGAAATGTTGCCTCTAGCAGAAATGACTGAATCTCATTAATATCCTTGCAGTTATCTGCAGACCACAAAAAATACATCTCTATGCATTAGCTAGCACAGATACCTCTATGCAGTACTGCCTTTAGGTTGTGTAGACATACACTGAGTATTTTCTGATTAAATTAACCTGTGTCAGGTTCTTAAGGTTATATTTTTCTTTCTTGTGCATTTGTATCTAACCTGAGGGTGAGCCTTATTTTCAGCATCTGTCTTAATATAAATTTTGTGGTGATCCTCAGCAGAAAGAATTTCTGTTTTAAATATTTTCATTATTACACTTTGTAGACCAAATAGTAGCAAACTTCTAGTACAACTTAGCCTTTTTCCAGGATTGGGAGAGGGCTGGCTAACATCTTCAGTAAGTAGATAAGCACAACACAATCAAACTTGTAGGATACACACGTACCATGTATGTGTCAGAGACGTTTGTGTGATAAATTACACAGACCATGTGGTAAATTGCAGTTTGCGCTTTTGACTGCCTCATCTACCCTCTGCTTACTAATCCATCTCCAGTGGGACCACTTCTATCATTTAAAAGATCTGATCAACATGGAATAGCTCCCTTAAAAAAACGACAAAGCAACTTGCCACTACACATAAAGCAGGTCTATCTAAACGTGTAATGTAAATGTAGTAAATGCTGGATATGTCAGCAAACTTCAGCTAACTTATTTCATGTCATTTTAAAGGGCCATAAATGACAAAAAAAGAGTGGAAAAATACATGAAAAGGTCTTCCTGTAGCTCTTAACAGGGATCTCACTGTTCCTGGAAGAATTTCTATGATGAGACTGAGAGGTAAGGCTTGCAGCATGATCCAAAAATAGTACTCTGTACTAAAAAAGAAAATCCAAAGCCAAAACAAAAAATAATGACAACAAAAGCAAGAAAGAAAAGTGGGAAAAACCCCTCCCTACTCCCCAGATACTAAAAGTAATTCCTGTGGCTGATAATTAGCAGTGGGTTTAAACACTCATCCTTACGCTGCTACTTTCTCTTGAAAAAGCCAGAGCAATGTCCCCATCTTCACTGAATACAGTCTTAGCACCTTGGAATTGCACTGCTCCGGAGCCCAGACTTAATTAAATAACAAGGTTAGGATCAGACAATATATCAAGGTTATAAACTGGAGCACTAACCTTCTGGAGGGGAGACATTCTCAGCTTTCCAAAGGAAACAGGGGGTCATGTCTATATTTGGAAGGTCCTGGGAGAACAAACTTTAGCATCAGCATAAATTAAGTACAGAGAAGGTAATTTAGGTACAGTTAGTCTCTTTCTGCCTGTGCCTTGGTTCAGGACTGGAGTTCCTGTGCTGCCACAGATAATAACAACATCAAAAAGGAAAGCAGGCTGATTTCCAGAAGCTTTGGGTCAGAACCTGAATACTGTAGGTTGTTTAGGAAGGAACTTCACCTGAGCTTCATCTTCAGCTCAAAGTAATTTCTGCCTTCTCTCTGTTCAGCACTAGGTTTCATTGAGGTCAGTGGAGCTGACAGCTCCAGAGCTCACCCTGACACCAAGGACTTCTCTTAGATGTACTGTAGATACTCCAAAAATGTGCATCACAGGAAAGGTGAACACAGACCAGTACCAAACAGGAATGGAGAACTGTCCTTTCTGAAGAATGCATCAGCATATTGTCTCTTAGGGCAGTGAGGTCTGTTCATAGGGGAAGGTGCTGCACAGAGCAGCCAGAAGCTTTCTGTGCATGGAGAAAGACTCAAAGGATTAGACTTTAAGTGCCTAACTGTAAGAGGGGAGATTGTCTGGAGTGCTAACCTTGTTTGTCTGATAAGAAACAGGAAATACTACAAATCAGACAAGTAATCAATAGCATTCAGATTTCCAAGAGAACAACACAGAATAAAAATCTCAGACTCAAGAATAAAAACCTCAAACTCATTTCATTGTATTCCTGGAAAGTTATGCTCTCTTCCAAATTACAAAATAGCCTGTTATAGTTTGATAAAAATATTCTTTGACTGTGACTGTTTTTCTAAATAGAAGATAAAGCATCATTATTAAATTTTCATGCAAACTGCTATGTGTGGAGTAACTCATTATGAAAGAACTATTATATTTGCAAAGTCAATATTTGAAATGTTAGTAGCTCTTCACTGAAACAAAGGTTGAAAGGTCTGAAGATACGAAGAGAAATCTTGGCTAAACAAGTAAGGCAGGATGAGGTAACAGTTTGCAATGGTCTGTAGGATGGAAAAACCAAAAGGAATAAAGATTTACAGAAAAGTACAGTAAAGTGCAATAAGGACTACTGGAATGAAAATAAGAAATTGAAAATTTAGATTGGGCACATCAGGGAAAAAATTCTTGTTGGAAAAATCTGTTATGTGGCAAAGCAGCCTCCCAAGAGATATGCTGGAATTGCTGAAATTCTCTGAAATAGCTAAAATGGACCTTCATACAATAGAATAGACCATGGTGGCAAGAGCAATGTCAAGATTGGTGCTGAGGAAAGGGTGTCAACCTATGGTCACCTGCTTACATCACTTCATTTCAATGTCCCAACACTGCAATGAAAGCCCCAAAATGTAGGTGGGAGGAATAGAACAGAAGATGAAAGAAAAAAAAATCCAAATTGATATAGTTTTTTTTGCCTGTATACATATTAAAAAATAAAAACAAAAATTGAAATGCCTTCATAAACTTCTGAACATTATGTGAATTATACAAATGTGGCCCCTGACCAGCCCATAGGTGCAGAAATTTAACAAATAACTGCTTTTAGTTTCACATCAGTGAGTTTCCAGGCTGAAACAGTGTCTCTATCTGGCAAATCCAATTTCATGACACCCAGTCAATTTTTCCTTTCCTGAAAGGCCTCATATTTTTTATGTGCACCCAGGCTGAGGTAACTACCTCAGGTTGTATTTTGTTGGGAAAAGGGTCTTGTCAATGTAGGATTCCTTTAGAACCAAACTTTAGGAAAGACCTTTTCAATGTGTACATATAGTAAGTTTACTTCATGACCAAAGTTTTTTCCCTTCTGCTAGCAATATTTGCTCATTCCAATTTACTCATTTGAGTTCTGCCTCTGAAAGTAGTAAGCCAATAGATGGGTTACCTGTGGATACCTCAGCTAATAGTGCTGAGTAACTGTTGTGTTGAGTAACATGCATAGCAGTGTAACTTTTTAAGAATAGGCATTTGGGCTCAGGCATACAGAATAGCTGCTAAGAAGGAACTCAGATGCTGAGGTTGCAAGCTGTTGGGGAGCTGATTGAAAGAACTGTAACTGTTTTGGGCCTGGCATGGTGGTAAGAGCTGAAGATATGAAGGAGGAGGGTTGATACCATAGGGGATGATTTTTCAGCTCTATGGGGGCTACGTGTGTGATCACATGGAGGAACATTTTATTCATTTGGCAAATTGAGAAATGCTTTCTTTGGGTTAGAAATTGTTGGTTCCATTAGCAGAATCTAATACTAAGGACATGTTCCCAAGGCACGTGCTCACATATCTACATACTCAGCTAAGGAAGCTGCTGAGGAAAACTTGACAGTGCTGAACTCAAGAAGCCTTACAGGCAAAATGCAGAAGAGGCAGAAGACCCACCAGCATTGTTCTCCAGTCAGCAGGCCAATCCCATTCGAACAACAGCCTGGAACTGGAAAAAAAAAACAAAAAAAGAAGGTCAAAAGGGAGTAACAGTGCTGCCATCCAAGGTGGTTCTTTGACTTCTGCTTTTCCTGTGGAGACAGACAAATGTGACTTTGAACTGGTATGGAAACAAAGACATCTGATGACTGGCCATTTTCATATCTGCCATCAGGATTTTAATACTGATTTTTTATTTAATACCCCTTTCAATACTGATTTTTTATTTAATACCCCTTTCTTAGTAACTGGATCCATAATACAAGTACGATTTTGATATCAGGGTACTTTGTGATCTCACATATTGATTGAATCCGTCTGAAGTTAGCTATAATTCCCGATTCTAACTCCTTATGTGCTCTGATGCTATAATCTATGGACAGCTGTATAGTTTTATTTCTTGTCCAAGGTTTGAAAAGCATTGTATGGTCCTTCTTTGGTTGGAAAAAGAATCAAACAGCAATATATCAGTCCAAGAAGTTATTATATAAGAAAAAACAAGTAATTATTATTATTTTAAAAAATTGTATTTCATTGGTTTGCAAATGTACACATTTGTGTCAAAATCACCCTGCCTATTTTCAAACAGTAATACTTGTTCTAATATTGATTACACTATTGTTATTAGACTGGAACTAATAGTGTCTCATCACTTTTTGGGAACTGTATGACTGTTATTATGTATTCTCTTGTACTTTGAGAATAGAAACCCTCCCAACTTGTTTGCACCAAAGTGTATTTATCCTTTATACTACTGTTCAGGAAGGATCTCTTCATAGAGACTGGTGATTATCCTTCAACTTAAAAATTATTATCCCTTACTTTTATGGAACCTAACGCACATCTGAAATGAACCTGACACCTCTCTGCTCTTGAATGATCTTTCTCAATTATTTTAAGAATGAAGTCTACCACTAGAAAAATTATAAATTATAGAATTCTCCCACTCCCAGGTTTACTTTGATTCTGTGCAAATTTGCCAGAATGAAAAGATTACATCTTTAGCAATCAGGTGAAAAAAAAGTACATTGAGGTTTTTCAAATTAAAATATTTCTTTTGACGAAGGGATTAGCCTAAGTTTGCACACTCAGTGTAATTAGTGCATATGGTCCAGCTGTGAAGAAATAGCTGAGGACTTCTAACTTATTATTAATTAGGCTCATTAAAATGCAAGTAAGAGAACGATGCCTAGATAAACAATACCTTATGTCATAAAGTCATTACTTGACAAGAGCTAGTCTTGCTAACAGAAGTCATTACTGATATTTTAAAGGAGCTTTTTTTTTTTAGACTCCATGGGTGCCAGTTAACTACTTTTGACTGACATCAAGGACAGACATGCAAAGCTGTAAGGAGCCAGCCGTACAGCACAGCAATTCTTTTCACATCATTTCAAAATATGTCTGGCTGAGGTCAAAGGTTGACAACCAAATGACAGGCCTTCTTCAATTGCTGTGGTGTCACAGCAGGAGTGTGTCAGGGAAATTTTCCTGGGCCCCTCTGTGAATTTTTACATGTTCACATTTCTTTCCTTGTCTTGTAAGTGGGACAGGATTGGCAGATTTGTGATTAACACCTCAGAAGGAGAAGCGTAGACACCATCCCAGGTTGGGAGCTCATGGTAACTGCAGCTAATAATCAAAAGGTTCTCCTTCCACATTAGCAAAGTACAAAAGACCAGCCTTTTATTTGTGTTCATTTGTATTAGAAAAGGGATGTGAGATTAGCAAGGGCTTTAGCTGTGTACATTGGTAGCACTTGCTGCATTTCTCACTATCAGCACATCTCCCAGTGATATTGGTGTAACGAGAATTGTCCTCCAGACAAAGACAAAAAAGAAAATCTATGCATTAAATACCAACAAGCCAGGCACCAAGCTGTTTTCAGAGTTTTATCAATGTTTCCCTTCCTTTAAAGTCCATACATGCTAACTTACAAGTAGCTCCACTGAAACAGCCTCGGCTGAAAATGCATCAAACGCTGCTATTGATGGGTGCTGAAATGAGGGCCTGCCTTTAACACAGGGTCAATTGATAAGTGACTGACCCAGACTTTTGACTGACATGAAGAGCTGTCAGGCAAGGTGCATCATTCTAAGTGGTGAGTAAGCACTGGAGAGATCTGAGCCACTGCTGTGTTTGGTAAAATAACTTGTAATAGATATAAGTGGTAAGAACCAGACTGCAATAAAGTAAGAAATCAAGAAAGGTAATTTTACTTGGATTTAGACAAGACTGACATAATAGAGACTTCCCATTGTCTGTTTACCAACCCCATAAAACATTCTGTCTGATGAATAAATGAAAAAAAAAAAAAGTTTTGAATATATCTGAGAACCACTGTAGATGCACTTTTGGCAAGAGTTATGCTGTACTTCAAAAGCAAAACCTTCTTTTCTCTAACCACTGGAAACTCCCATGAACTTGAAAATATCTTGTCTCAGTCTTATGGCACCTGTTTTCACTTCAGTGTAAAGGGAAGACAGCAAAATCAAGATCATCTTGGCTCATTCTGCCTTTGTTTACTCTTTAAGCACAAGTGGAGAAAAGTGATAGGACAAAACAGGTAACAAAGTCCAATATGCTTGAAGATGAAAATGAATTAAAGCTGAAGATATCACCAGAACCTGGCAATTAGTGCAAAGCAAGTAAAATTATACTCAAACCACATAATACATTTTTATTAATAAATTCTAAATATATGAGGGAAAATCTTAATCTGATCAAGTGTAATTGAGTATCTTCTCCCTACTCTAACTTCAATACATATCTCCATTGCCTACAGAGTACAGGTAAGATTTACATATGAACAAAGTGAAAAAAGCACCTGCATCCTCATGAACCTAGAAAATGCCACAAACTTGCCAGTTCTTGAAATGTATCCTCTTTTTCAAGATGGTCCATTCTATGACCAGACCTTCCTACTGTCTCTTGAACAATGTGAGCATGCAACCTGATAGCACATGACATGTAGCTGCTATAAATTCTGTGGTCTTATAGGTATCTACAGGTCACAATCTGTATGTTGACAAAGCACAGGCAGTTGACCATGAAATTATTACCTAATGGGTGCACCCCAGCACACATTAGACCATGTGGAGAACACTCTGTCTTGTCTTGGTGGCCCAAAGCTCAAGACCCCATGACCTGTAAACCAGCCTTGGGCAGAAAACCTAGACTGTTGCTATGTATATGAAATAGAAGACAAAAAACTACTGTGAGGAAACTCAATCTTTCCATATGGTCAAGAGGAAGTGCAGGTTCACAGACTACTCACCAACCACCTAGCCTGAAGATGTCATGACTGAACAAATCTGTTCTGGCACCTGGGATTTTTATTTATTTTGCAAAGCCAATACTTTGTTTTCATGAAGAATTTAAGGTGACTGATAGCAAAATCAGAGTGCACTGATTAGCTTTGGTGTAAATCTGTTCTAGAGTCCAGTTGTGACAATACTAATATTTTAGAAACAAAAATTATACTTTTCAATAATATTCCACAATATTCTCTCAAAAGAAGTTGTTTACATACACAGGCTAATTCATAATTTTTCCTGAGAATAAAGGTAATATCTTATGTTTTTTTTTTTCAAAATGCCTTTTTTCCTAAACATTTTATCTCTTCATCTAGGTAGTGCTATTTTAGAGTTGTCTTAAAGAGCTGTCTTAAAGATCCAAAGACTCTTTGCAACTGGAGAGTAATTAAGACAGAGTTAAGTGTGAAAAGGCAGCTTCCCTGTATGCTTTAGAAATAATTGTATTCTATATAAATATATATGCAGTAAATAATTGTTTACCTGAATGAACAACAATAAAAATCAAAGAAGCAGTGCCTGTCCTCAGAACCAGGAGAGCTTGCAAGGCCAGAGCTCCAGCTTGTTCAGGTGTGCTTACAGTACTGTGGGAAACACTTCAGCAAATACTCTCTAACGCCATCAGGAACACGAAGCAGAGATGAGGATTGCTGAGCAGCTCCTGTGACGAGCCCTGATTGAGCAAACACTGAAATAATTAGGAACAGTCGCGCTGTGGCAAAGGCGCGACGGGCGGCCAGGCCGGCCAGGCCAGACATGGCCATCACACAGCTCCTGCTTGCTGCAGCAGCGCCTGGCTGCACCCTGAGCTGGCTGCTGGCCCTGGGGAGCTGAACCACACTCGTGTCCTTTCTGGGTGTCTGCAGGGACATGAGCTGGACGTCTCAGCCCCGTGAGGCGGTGTCGGTGTGGGCTGAGGGGCCCAGGAGAGCCAGACACTCGTCAGGCCTCGCGCCGGGTCGTGGGGCCCTGGCAGCCGGCAGGAGATGCCTTGCCCTCCATTTCAATGCTGCGAGCATCCTCCGTGACCTTCCCTCTCCCTTCCCAGCACACGCTGACACATCCAGCCTAAATTTGCGTCTCGCATCACCTCAGGATACTCATGGCTAATTTCATTATTTTGGAGAGAAAATGCAAATGAAGCCAGACAGCTGGTGCTTTCCTCGTGGCGAGGAGTGATGGAGGGGCCTGAGGCCTACCTCATCAGAGGCTCTCATACCCGTCTGCTCAGACAGGCCCTGGCGGGAGGAGAGCGGGGAGGCTGCAGGAGCAGCGGGAACAGATGGCAGGGAAGGTAGGAAGATGGAGAAGCGAGAGGGGCCAGAGCCGTTCGGAGGAAGAGGCAGTGTCAGTTACCTGTGGGCCGAGGCAGCCTCGCAGGACAGTTCGGCATCTCGCAACCTCCCCTGTCTTGCAGAGCTGTTTTTAATTCAGTGGGGATATGAAAGGTGGTCGCTGGTCAGGTGTGGCACAGCAGCCTTGGATTCAGGATATTTTAGGTCTGCTTTAAACCAGCAAAGACTTCAGTTTGCTCCTAACCCTGGCCGATTGACTGCTAACTCCTGAAAACACTGTAACTCTAAACCCAGCAGGTTCAGAGGTTGTTTTTTAAATCCTTTTTCAAGAATAGGCAAAGACTTGGAGAAAAAAATATATTCCTTAATACACAAGAAGGAGAGATTTTAAATCAATTCCTCCAACTATTCATGGAAGAAGGAAGAGAAAACAAAATCATGCCCGTAAGGAATCAGTCAGAACATTGTCTCATAAGACACCTATACAAGAGGCCTGCAAGAATAATGTGGCTCAGCACAGACTGCCCAATGTTTCTCAGCAGTTCAGCCCCGCTTGTACCAACACATTTCACATAAATGTTCCCTGACACCTAAAAAGTACAAAAGACCAGCCTTTTATTTGTGTTCATTTGTATTAGAAAAGGGATGTGAGATTAGCTAAAAAGGTAATGACACCAGGGGCATCTTAGGAGTTTTCATGTTGCTAATTATTATTATTATTATTATTATTATTATTATTATTATTATTATTATTATTATTATTATTGAAGTTGTTTCTGGAGAGGTCTGAAATCTTCTTTCATTTGACATACCTGCAGGCAAACAACAAGTATAGAATTTTTTAATACATTAATTGGAGAAGTAAGTGCTTTCCATGGAGGAGATCTCTCTCTTTGTCTCTCTCTCGCTCTGGGTGGTATAGGTAGATCTTTTAAACAAAATAATAAAAGAAAAAATAGATTTGAAGAGGTTAATTTTAATGACCAGCATTTTCAAGCATTAAGAAGGGGCTAGGAAAGGCAAGAAAACTAATTTCTTAAACACATATAGCCCCATCCTCTGAAACATTTAACCAAATTAATTCCCAAGACTTCATATGTATACTGTGTCATAAACCTCCCCAACTACAAATCCCCTCTACATTTGTAACAGAGTTATCTCAGATTCCTCTGTTTAATAATTACTCAGATCTAAAATTTGCAATAAAATACCAATTGATTATAAAAGCGAGTCACTGATTCATTAGGTGAGTAAGCAGAGGGTCAGTATTATCACTGAATCAGATTCACAGACTCCTTACAGACCTAATAACTGGTGTCTACCAACACAGCTAGTAACACAGGATTCAAAAGACTTGGTTCCCGCTACTTTTAAGATACAGATCTCAAGTTAAACTGCTACTGTAAATCTTGTGGCCATCAGTTCAGAGATATCCAGGCAAACACAGGATCTCATTTTAGGTCCCATTCTGTACAGGGTGCAAAGGGCTGTTGATGGCTGTTGCTGTGGAATGACCCCCTTCTTTCCTCCCTGTTCCACACCCATCACTGACATCCACACAAAGCCAGCCAGTTTTCCACCCACCTAATTGGTATAACTTGTCCATCTCTCCCAAGTGAATAATTTATTGGGTTATGTGTCCCCTCCACTCGACGTTTCTTGTTCTATAGACCTTTCTATACAAGGTTGTCTAGTATCTTTTCAGCTTCCCTTCCTTTTAGTCAATGATGCTGACAGGCACAAGGGTTCCTCCCCAGGACCCTGCTCACACTGTTTTCCTCTTAGATGCTGTGTCCCATGAATGTAAAAGGCTTTTCCCATTCCTCTCCAACCTGTCCACTGTATCCTTTCTTTTTCCATACAAGGCTGCAGCCTCTCTCCTTCTCAGTGCCTATCTAAGTCTGCTGCCACCAGTTGTTCCATTAAGTTCCTCCCTTAGTTCTCTCTGATTCTGACTGACAGTCCCTTCTCTCTTCTCTTTCCATCTTTCTTCCTCTCACACTGCAGCATCCATGATGAAGGATCAGCTGAACAGCAGCTGTGTTTCCCTGTCTTAACATCTCCCTTTTGCATGTGTATTCTCCTCTCACCTCCCTTAGTGTAGGATTTGTGAGTTTTTATTTATCCTTTAGGTTGATTCTCAGTCACCACAGAAATTTTCTGTATGCCTTTCATATTTGCCAGTGGTTTGTTGCATGGCTCTTAGCCCAGTGCTACAGAAAAAAACCAGATTTTGTTATGTTTCATTTGTCATGACGTATGACTTCCTACCCAAGCTTCCCTGCTTTCTCCCATTTGCTATTTTCAGTTGTTCTAGCGCATATCTTTGGCATTATCTTCTACACAGCATGGATAGAAGACCGTGTCTAAGCCTTGGAGATAATTATTGCATAACATCTCCCTGATATAGACTTTCATGTCAATCTGTATAAAGATAACTCTTGGATGGTATCTACTCACTTCATATCCTGATTATTGCAACATGATTTTCTCTGCTGTGTCAGATTCATCACTTATGCTCACTTCCAGAATCTCTCCACAAATTATCTATCATCACCTGATAAGTGGAAAGCTGAGTCCCACATCTGATCAGTCTGAACTCCTATCTTTCCTTACATACTCATATTTCACTGTCTATGTATATTTCTCATTTGCAGCAAGAATAGAAATACAATGAATAGATTTTGGATGAATGTACACCATAAGCTCTCCTATGGGTTAAAAATGCCTTGTTTCTCAGGCTGTATTTCCATTTTTCTTTGTCTGTATCCACATCTTGTCTCTGCTTTTTATGTTGAGACTGAGATGCAAGAATTGGGAGAAAACTGTTTTAATCCATGCATTCATGGATTAATGGATTCACAGCTCTAAGTAATAGCTCATATGAGCTATGCTAATGTAAAAATCAACACCAAAAAGTGAACTCAGAGAAATAAGCAATTTTGCTCATGCATCTGCTTATTGATAGAAGGAAAGTGTGGGAAATGTCAGAATCAACCTCGATTTCTGGGTGGGTCACCCTCCACCATTCTACTGACAAGTCCTTTATATGAAACAACTACAAGTCTGCCTGAGAAAAGGAGTGGGATTTTCAGTCGCAGAGATAAGTGTCATCTTTGAGTCTCTTTTCTAGGAGCAATTATGAATTTGAATTCCATAGTCACAAAAAAAAAAAAAAAGAGGAAGATTGACCAGTGAACAGTGTAAGGAATACATATGGCAGGACTTATTTATTTCATAGTTACTGACGTGTTTAAATCTTGCCAAACTGGAAGCAGTTTTGGGCAGAATCATCAACAGAGTGGTAAATATTGTGGGAACTCTACCTGTAGGCACAGGGGCATGTCAGCTCCAAGCAGAAAGGAGCTGCATTAGCAATCTCTCTGCCAGCTCCCAGTGAGGCTGGGGCATAGCACAGCAAAGCCCTGTGCAAGAGACATTAGCTGAGGACTAAAAGTTTTTTAATCTGATCTGCTCTACGCTTCCAGCTGTGCAAATAACACTCACACAGGACCATGCTGACAGATTTCCACTGCTTCTTGGTCTGGAGATAGCTTAAGAGACTCTCTGTGACTCTGCACAGCCCTGCATTGCAAGATGCAGCATAATATTGGACACTGAAGATTACAGCTCCCTAAGGAGTTTCGAATTTTTTATTTTTTTCCAACAAAAGAATCCATAGCTACAAAATATTTTGTCTTTAAATGCCCTTGCTCAGGAATAGGGTCAAAGTCACACTTGATAATCAACCAGGATTTTATTGTTTGAACAAAAATATTATCTGTTTATATTCCTAAAATAGAAATATAGAAGCTTCTTTTGGTTTTGTTTTTTTTTTTTAGTCACAGAGACCCTCTGTTTAGCCATCAGCATTTACAAAAACAGCAGTGCAGACATGTCAAGTTCAACATGTTTTCATTCTGTGTTCCCGAGCTCAGCAGTTAGACCGTTCATTAATTTCCCCTTTTCCTCCACACACCGTCTGTGCACCTTATTTATATTCACCTGCTGCCAGTTTAACACCCTGAAGAGGCACACCTGCAGTGGCAGCAGCTTCACATGACTGCTGCTGGACCCCATGCTTCAGTCCCTTCTAGGGACTCTTTCTGCTTAAGCCCCGACTCGCTTGGATCCCGCACTGGCTACACAGTTGGCTTGTTTGGCTCACTTGAAATCTTCACCTAACCCTGAGCTGGCTCCTCCGATTTCTCCAGCACTGCACATCATTTTACCTTCTGATTTCACAGACCTGTGTTTAAGTCAGGAAACCAACTATCATGACAGAGTTTTAGTTAAAGGGTGCCATCTGTGTGAAATAGAAAACAGTCCCCCTCTTGAATCACAGAGCTGTTGACAATTAGTTTCAAGTCATGTTTCTTGCAGTCTCTCCCCTCCATGTCTGCTCCATGCAACCTACAACATATGACAAAGGCAGTGCTAAACATGCTGTTTATAACACAGAGAGCCTTTTGACTTGAAGAGAGAGAGGAAAAGAGGAACTGATACACAGGTCAGCTCCTTTTGTCTCCGTAGAGCTTCAGTAGAAACTACAGACTCTGGAAAGGTAGTTCCCCTCCTTCAAGCAAATCCAAGGTTCAGTTTCTTTGACACTATGTGTAGTCAAAGCCTCAAATGTAGAAGTCCAGCAACCTCGCTGTTTTGGAGCAGGAGCACATGTCATATAATTAGAAAAGGCAACGGGCTGATCGTGTATCTTCTGGTGTTTCTTAGCAGCAGCAGTCACTACTGCTTGAACCTGGGCTCAACTCCAGTTGGCAAGAATTCTTGTTAGCAAATTCATGGACTTGAATATCACCTGAACCTACAAAGATCAGGATAGCATAACAATTTCTAAACATAATTTATTTTGTCAATAAGCCCCACCTTCAGAGAAGAGTCTGCAAACCCCACATGCAGCAGAAATGCACAAATGGCAGTGTATATTCATGTCAGCACTTTGGGATGCACAAGAAAGGAAATATACCATACATCCATGGCCACAGCCCCTTGGACAGAAACTGGAAGAAACAGATTTAATGCATCATGTATGA